TATATATGTATAAACAATTATGTATTGTGTATTATATATATGATAAATTTATGTTTTAGGAGAGTTATAGATAAAACAGATAAATCTAAAAAAATTAGGCTTAGCTTAGATCGTTTTGTATTGAGAAAGCCAGTAAGGATATTACTAAATGATCTTTAATTTACTTAATGACTTATCAAGTTTGATTATAATAATGCTATATAATATTTTCATATTTACAGAAAACTGTTGATGAAAGTACAGAATCATGTACAAGCATTTTTGATACTCAGACAGAACGACGTTGGAGTTCTGTTTGTGATTCATGTGATTCACAAAGAACATACAGAACATACAGTGATAGTTCGTCGCACTTAAAATTAATTTTAAAAGACAGCGAGGTATCAAACGAACTCAAAGAATACAATAACATGTTTGGTGATGTAGATGTTAATTTATCAGACGATAATGACGAGCAGGACTTGTTAACAAAAAATGATATTAAATCTAGTGAATGGCATACGCAATTAAATTCAAGTTCACGAGATGACTTAGACAATTACGATGAAAGATGTACCTTTCCATTGAAACGAAGATTAACTGTAAATAATTTTGAAACATATTCACACGTTCAAGTCACATCTGTGGATAATCAATCGGAGGAATATGTTACAATACCTAAAAGCGAGTATGAAGAAATTAAAAATAGAGTTTCAGCAATTGAGTCTCGCCTTTCTCAAGAATTGAAATGTGTAAATAATGAAAACAATGAGGAGAATGATTTATTACTACATTCTGTAAAAAAAGTACAAACTGCGTATGAAAAGACATTGGAAGAATCTAGTATTGAAACTACAGTATCAACAGACTATTTAGCTAAAAAACTTGGTAAAGAACTTAAAATTAGGAGATCAGATGAACATAAAATTATCAGATCTCCAAGCGCTCGAAAAATAGGAAGTTTAAGAAGGAGGTCACAGGAAAGAATGATGAGGTAATAAACTGTCGAGTTTTTTTTTATGAGCCATGTAAATTTTATATTTTTATAGTTCACGATTGAAAATTTATTTTCTCATTTTGTAGTAAACGTGTGAGACGAACTGCTTCGTGGCACATTTCTCGAGGTTCAGACTTACAATCTAATCAAGACTTGAGTAATGCCAACTCCTATAACGAGAAAACACTTTTATTGAATTATACAAAAGACAATGATTACTTACGACCTATATCTACTTCTCTTTGGGAAGAAGAAAAAAATAATATAATGTTAAACAATGTAAGCGATGAGTTAAAAAATTCAAAAAAATTCAGTCAGAGTTCCCTTCAATCGGTCAAAGATCGAACACATACAGCAGTACGTCGAGTATCATCTTTCCATGGTAATGAATTTGCAAACACAGCCATGTATCCCAATGATAAAGTTGAAAAACTAAAAAAGACGAACAGCCAACAAAACATGAGTTTCAATACTACGTCTACGAATAAGTTAAATTCAAAATCCGAAGCAAAAAAGAAAACAGTCATGTCCTGGAAGGATGCAGATGGATATTTCAAATCGACAAACCAAACGAATACTCCAGTTACTCAAACTGGTCGCGCGTCGATCGCGAAACTGAGAACACAGAATGCAGGAATGGTATTGGCCAAAGCGAAATTGTTTGATGAATGTACGGCAAAAACATATTCCCAAAATGCATCTATGAACAAGAAAAATGATTTGCCTAGTACAGAGAATGATCAGTACACCAATACTATAAAGCAAAATTGTGAAGGGATGGAATTATATCGGAGATCAAGCAAAAATATAAAAAACAGAAATTCAAAAACAGTATTAAAACATATTCCTTCTTGTAGTTTGATGGAAATCGAAAGCAAGAAAGAGGATATTGAAATGTGTCGCAATATTCCCAGAGATTCTATGATGCGCAATACGGCCAGCCATCAAAAAGAAAATAAAACATCACCTAAAGTACCTATAAATACAATGTTGCAAGACTCTAGATTAACTGTTCATAAAGTTGATAATAATTCGTTGTGCAAAACTCCTCATATTAAAAAACCATTGACTGTAAAGACACCTAGGAGCGGCAAGGCATTGGTGAGAAGACCCCTGGTGGATTCTCGCAGGACACCTCTAAAAGCAGTTAGTCAATTAGGAACTCCAAAATATCAGAGTCCTAAAAGTATTTTGAAGACACCGAGAAATTAGTTCAAGGTACAAATTTATTAGAGATGTGTTCAAGAAAATCTCCCTTGCAATACTTTCAATTATAAATTGATAAGAGTACTATTGCATTAACATTGCATTGCATTAGCTTAGAACGTCAAGTCAGTCAAAGTTTAGAGAAAAACTATATTTTCATAACAATATTTTTTATTAGTAGTATTTTTATGAATGAAACAGATTGTCATGACTATATAGAAGAATATATTAAATATATTACATAAAAGTATGTGATGAATATACTTAGGAGATAATCATACATTTTAATATTATATAATATAGAACATTTTTAGACAAATATTTTGCTTAAAGAAGTTATGTATTTATATATATAAAATGTTTTTTTTGTATTTGTTCTTGTAATATATATTTATATATATCTAGCAAAGTACAAATATATATATTTTTTTTTAACTTAATATTATATTTCGAAATTTTAAAATTTGTGCCATTTAAAAATGAAATTTCATACAAATAACGTAAGAAAATACAAATATTTACTGCCCAGTGTCTTACAATATTTAATAATACTATATTTTTTGTTTTGTTTTATAAACCGTATGTAATTTGTTCATAAATAAATAAAACTTACGCAATGTTGTATCTATTAATGTGTACATATGCGATAAAATAATTAAATTATGAAATTTAATAAAAAAAAGGAATGAAACGTGAAAATGAAATTTTTTTATTGTATTCCACGTATTTAAACATAGCGCACACATTTGTTCGTTGCTCCGCCAATCAGATTTTACCGTCTGTCAGATTTAGAACTGTCAAGTAAAAATAATACACGTTCATTATACGCAAACAATACAATATGACACAAAAGTTCTGTTTCCCTCGTGAAGTAAAGTTTTCCTCTATATCCAGATAATAAAGGATGTGGTACATACGCGTACAAAAAAGGTAACATTTAACGATTGTCTCTTTCTTCTTTTTTTTTTTTTCTTATCAAATATCATGAAAATATTACAAATGTGTTCATTTGCTAGTTTCGGATAAAGTCGTTATGATAGCAGCGCCTCGTTGATTCCAGTCGGATCTACAGCTGTTGATACGTAAATTGTTAGTGAAATAAGTGTCAGTGAAATATTGCATTTGGGACGAGCAGCCTTTGGGCTGAAAGATATAATTCACGTAAAGATGAGAGAAGCTGGAATAATGTTAATAAGCACGGCATTAACGTGTGCTGTGATAGGCAACGCGTATTATCAAAGAAAACAATTTTACCCAACAGTAGTCCACATAACCAAATCCAACCCTAGTATGACGGTATGTTTTGATATTTTCCAATTTTTCTGTTTAAATATATACTTACGTACATTTCTAAACATTCTAACGATCCTCTCGTTTATTTTGTGATGCGAAAATTTAGGTAATCTATACACAAGGTTTAATTCTAGTATTTATGATAAATGCTTTCCTCCGAAAGATATTCTTCGGTACTCTACGTGCTGCCGAACTTGAAGTAAATATATGATATGCTTAAAAATTTGCAAAACATTTATATAAGTATGCATGCTAAGAATTATTTATTTACAGCATTTACTGGAAAAAGTATGGTACGCTGTAACTGAAACTTGCCTGGCATTCACAGTATTCAGAGATGACTTTAGCCCGAAATTCATAGCACTGTTCACACTCCTTTTATTTTTGAAATCGTTTCACTGGTTAGCGGAAGATCGCGTAGATTATGTAAGTATATGTTAAGTAATGCAAGTAATTTAGTAAAGCATTGGAACTTACTTTACGATTATTCTTTTCAGATGGAAAGAAGTCCTGTAATAACATGGTTGTTCCATCTTAGAGTTGGCACTCTGTTGATATTATTATTTGCTATAAATTTGACTATGATTCACTACGCCTATAACACAACAGCCACAAAAGGTCCTTCAGTGCAACTTGTCTTTGGTTTTGAATATGCTATTCTTTTAACTGTTGTATTCAATATTAGTATAAAGTACATATTGCATACAGTAGATCTACAAAGTGAAAATCCATGGGACAATAAACCAGTATTTCTATTGTACACAGAATTAATAATTGGACTGTTAAAGGTAAGGCAGATTAATTATATATATATATTCTTTAAATATTTATGAAATTATTAAATCTAGTATGTCTTTTATGTCAGGTCATTTTATATGTTGCTTTTGTCACTTTAATGGTAAAATTATACACTTTACCTTTGTTTGCACTTCGTGCAATGTATTATACAATGAGAGATTTTAAAAAAGCCTTCCATGACATTGTAATGTCGCGTCGAGCTATCAGAAATATGAATACATTGTATCCAGATGCAACAGCAGAAGAATTAGCTGCTGCTGATAATGTGTGCATCATATGCAGGTTGGATAAAGTTATTAACTCATTAAAAATTAAAACTTTCCAAAAATGTAAGTGTTAATGAGATGTCAAAAATATATTTTATATTATTTTAGAGAGGAAATGGTATCTGCAAGTAAAAAATTACCATGCAATCATATTTTTCACACTGCCTGCCTTCGTTCTTGGTTCCAACGTCAACAAACATGTCCTACATGCCGTTTGAACATTTTAAGACCTGTTAATAATAATCAAAGAAACAGGCAACAAAATCAGGCACAAGCAGGACCACAAGTGCCTCAAGCTCCACAAGCACCAGGATTTAATCCAATTGGTGTGTATATTTAATTTAATGCTAACATTGAGAATAAAATTCAATATTTACATCTTATTTAATAAAGTTCAAGTACTCCCAGCATTTTGGGCTGGAATGCAAGCACCAGGAGCGCCACCACAACAACAACCACAACAACAACAACAGCAA